GAGAGAGAGAGAGAGAGAGAGAGAGAGAGAGAGAGAGAGAGAGAGAGAGAGATGACGTTTGCCGATGATCAAGAACACTTACAAAAGTGTTAATTGGCGATTAGTTCTACGAATTGGTTGTTCTTCTGCAAAACATTTCGAAGTTTTGTGCACGTGTTGCTGCACATGGCCGGGACTGTGTCTGTAGCAGTCAAACTTGAACACGTGCATCGATAGAGATGTTAGCAACTGTGTGTGTCTTGTGGCGACCAAATTCCGAATTATGACGAGAGAGAGAGAGAGAGAGAGAGAGAGAGAGAGAGAGAGAGAGAGAGAGAGGACATTTGCAGTTGACCAAGAACACTTAGAATAGTACTTATTGGTGATTAGTTCCACTTATTGCTTGTTCTTCTGCAAAACATTTTGAAGTCTTGTATACATGTTGCTGCACTTGGTTGGGACTGTGTCAGCAGTAGTAATACTTGAACACGTACATCAAGAGAGAGATGTTAGCAGTTTTTGTGTGTCTTGTAGCAAACACATTCTGAATTTTCATGTTCCACAGAGTTATGGTGAGATTGCTAGAAATTGCGAGATCTCTACCGACCTCTGTCTGTTTTCTCCCCTGCACATCCACCTTCCCTCCATTGTGTCTCATCGATTGTTGGGTCAACGATCGTTGCATTCTTGTTTGCATGAACAACAGAACGACACTTGCACGACGCATTGCGGACAGCGGCACGAATCGCTTCACGCAAGCCGAACCCAATGTTTTGTAGGTTAATTACAGGCAGGCTGTTGATTGCATTGGAAGAACGTGGTGGGGGTTAGAAATCCATTGCTGTAATTGTCACAAACTGAAACGGCAAATTTCTGAGTCGATGCGGTCTATCATGCAGTAAAGTTAGTGTGCTAGTAGAAGTAGATCAGTGAGATGTATCCAGAGTTGATCCTCATGTGTGTGCTGTAGCAGAGAGTGTGCATGCGTGTGAAAAGAAAAGACTTGTGTAGAGTTTAGATGAGGAACACTGAGACAAGTGAGAGACAGGAGGCAGAGAAAGCTATGGTTGGGACTTACCTTGTCTGGCGCTGGGTTCCAGACTCTTGCTGTTTGAAGAAGACTTGTAATCTTGTTGAGCGCAGGATTGCAATATGTGACAATGCAATCTGCTTGACATGCATGCTGATGTGAGCACTCCTTGGTGTGATGAACTTTGAGGTTCATTGCACTCACGGGAACTGCTGACATCCCACTTTCCTGTTGAGTTTTCATCGCACAGGCAATACCACAAAGCACACTCAAACATGGAAATCTTCAGCAAATTGGACCACCACAGAGCGTCACACAAGAAGCTACACGCTGCACAAACTTGGAAATCAGACTGTACCTAAGGGTTCATTTCAGGCTACAAAGATAGCATATATACTTTCATGATGACTGTGCGTTGTGCGTCGGGGAAAGATCGTAGCATGAAAAAGGGTGTCCAAAAACTCTCTGACACCAATAGTTAACGCATTAAACTGTCATGACTGCCATTGTTGTGGCAGCACCAATTCAATTCCATGCGGGTCTGTATGTGGATCCTGTCCAAGGCACATATGAAAGCATGAAATGTTTGGTTTACATCAATGAATGAGATGCAATCCCAAACATGGATAGAAAGCTAGCTCTGCAACTTACCAAGTATCGGGTTAGAGTCATCCACATCACACGCGTACCACAACTCTTTCAGCTGCATCTTCACAAATGATTCTAGTCAGATACATTTAGGAAATCAATGTTTTGAACAACAAGGTGTTCAATGTTTTCCAGAGGGAGACTATCTGCTTGCCATTCCACAAAGCTATGGCCCTATTATCATGCTGATGCTGTCATGTTGCTATAGCACTTCACATGGTGATGAAAGGCCTCGAATCAATAGGAAAGGGATGTTCAGCAACAAGAAATCCACCCGTGCCACTCGCTGGTAAGATGGGAACACACACACAGAGAGAGAGAGAGAGAGAGAGAGAGAGAGAGAGAGAGAGAGAGAGAGAGAGAGAGAGAGAGAGAGAGAGAGAGAGAGAGA